TTCACTGTGAGCTCTGCTTAGAGACAGTGCAGGAACTTTGCTTGTTTGCTGCTGGGCATGGAATAGCTCTTTACATATTTTCCCATCAGATGATGATGAAGCCCAATGTTCAAATGGAGACTATCTCTTTCTTCTTTAGAATTGGAAGTCCCTCTGAAATGTTAATGATAATAATAACTGACACACACTGAGTCATTACATATACCAGACACTGGTACATGTAATAACAATCTTTACATAGATTGTTGTTTTTGTTAGGTGTCATAGAGTCTATTTTGACTCATAGCAACTCTAAGTGACAGAGTAGAACTGTTCTATAGGGTTTTCTAGGCTGTAACCTTTAGGAAAACAGATTGCTAGGTCTTTCTCTCACAGAGCTGCTAGGTAGTTCGAATGCTGACTTTTCAGTTAGCAGCCAAGTGCTTAACCACTGTGCCATCAGGTGACTCACAACAGTTTAATTCTCATGGCAGTGCTCTGAAAAGGGTACTATGATTAGCCTCACTTTAACAGGAAGGAAATGGAAGCCCAGATAGATTAAGTTACTTGTCCAGGTATTACACCTAGGCAGTGACCTCAGGTCAACCAGTGTGACTTAATATAAGGTTACCTGGTCCAACACCTGTCCTAAGGATCAAAGGGGCAGATGCCAAATCTGTCGCATTTCTCCTTCCTGGACTATTGGATTGGATGGATAACCAAGTGATCTGATTGTCATGGGTGTGGCAGGGGGAGCCATGTAGCCACCTGGAGAGAGCAATCAGGGTGGTGGGTGTCCAAACTCTAGTCAGCACACTCAGCCCCACAGAGAATCCATGTGCCATATCTAGGAGCAATACACAGTGTGAGAAAGCAAGTTTCAAATATTGGAACGTCTGGAGTCTGTTGCTACATACAAGGGTAATTGTACACATGCTTTGAAATCAGGATGTCTTAGAAAATCTTGGATGATTGATAACAAACCTAATGGGTGTTTGTTTTTGTTTGGAATGAGGAGACTAGATTGTGAATAAATTAGGTGTCTATCCTAGCACAGTGCCAGTTACATACAAGGTACTTGAAAGATTATAAAATGTTTTTGTCTAATAATATCCTGGGCTGTTTCATTTTTATCATGTTATGTCTATCATATCAATTTTTTCTATGTTTTATTTATTTTGTTACTGTTGTTGAGAATATACTCAGCAAAACATACACCAATTCATTTGTACATGTGCAATTTAGTGACATTGATTACATTCTTTGAGTTGTGCAACCATTCTTACTCTCCTTTTCTGAGTTGTTCCTCCCTCATCAACATAGGTCACTGGCCCATAAGGTTCCAGTCTAATCTCTTGAGTTGCTGTTGTCAATTTGATCCCATATAATAGTTCTTAAATGAGCAAAAGGTCAAGGCAGGCCTTTTTCACTAGGGAGCTCTGGTGGCATAGTTAAGCTATATTATTACTCAGTTTTAAAATGACTCCAGGGAATATTTTTGGTTTTAGGTTTAAAGATTATCTCAGGGCAATAATTTTAGGGGTTCATCCACCATCCATGGCTCTATAAAGTCTAGAGTACACGAATTTGAAATTCTATTTTGCATTTTCCCCCTTTTGATCAGAATTCTTCTATAGACTCTTTGATCAAAATGTTTAGTAGTGGTAGACAGGTACCATGAAGTTCTGGTCTCATGGCAAAGGAGGCAATTAGCCACACATTTCTCATTCTCTTCCAGTTGCTCACTCTCCTTCTTCCTCTTGCTCCTGGTGAGTAGAGACCAATTGTTGTGCCTTGAATGGCCACTTGCAAGTTTTTAAGACCCCAAGCACTATGCAGCGAGAGAACTAAGAGGTAGAATAGAAGCACTGAACACGTTGTTAGGCCAATTAACTGGAATGTCCCATGAAACAGTGACCCTAGACCTCCAAAACACGGAACCAAATTCCATGAGGCATATGTAAGCAACCTTGGCAGCTACTCTTTTTTTTTTTTTAGGTCGTTGTTATAAATATTATCTATCACACAGCTTTTGCCGGTTCAACGTTTTACAGGTGTACAACCTATTGACAGCAATTACAATAATCAGCTGTGCAAACCTACCCTAAATCAATGCAATTTTTCTATCACCGTTACTCACCTTTTCCCACTCTCACCTGTCCCTGGTAACCATTAATAAACCGTGATCTCTATATGTTTACCTTTTTCTCTCTTTTTATATATGTGAGGTCATATAATATGTGTCCTTTTGTGATTGGTTTATTTTGTTTAGCAACAGGAGCTCTGGGGGCATAGTGCCTAAGGAATTTGACTGCTAACCAGAAGGCTGGCAGTTCAAACCCACCAGCCACTCCTCAGAAGGAAGGTTGGGCAATCTACTTCAGTAGTGATACCACCTTGGAAACCCAAGGTGGGGTCACTATGGGTCGGATCCGACTCAACAGCAGTGAGTTTCGTTTTGGTAATGTCTTCAAGCTCCATCCATACTGTATAGCATGTATCAGGACTTCATTTCTCTTACTGGCTGAGTAATATTCCACTGTATGTATGGGCCACATTTTGTTTATCCATTCATCTGTTGATGGGCATTTACATTGTTTCTACCTTTTGGCTATTGTGAATAGTGCTACAGTAAACTTTGGTGTACAAGTCTGTTTTTGAATCTCTGTTTTCAAGTCTTTGGGGTATATACCTAGGAGTGGAATTGCTGGGTCATATGGTAGTTCTATTTTTAGTTTTTTTTTGAGGAACCATCACACTGTTTTTACAGGTGACTGTACCATTTTGCATTCCCACTAGCAATCTTCCCACATCCTCGCCAACATTTGTTTTGTTTTGTTTTTTTATATCTTGGCCTTGATTCTGTTGGTCCAATATCCATATAATATTTAAACCATGCAGTGCTATCATGAGTCAACTAAGTAAGTAAGCACTAGTAAAGAGTGGAGAAAGCGTGAATAGTTTCAATTGTGTTCTATAGAAACTCTAGAATTTACCACCTTTTTTTTCCTATTAAAGTAATACCTGTAGTCACAGGGAGGAGAGCTTTTTATGATTGGGGATTGTAATCTGGGCCGTGAAATTATGTTCACGAATTATGTTCATGTTCATGCAAATTATGTGCATGAACTGTTGAATGTAAAACAAATCTGCTTTGTAAATTTGCACCCAAAGCACAATTTTAAAAAGAAAGAAATTGGTAATAAAAATAAGTAAATAAATAAAAATAAAGTAATACGTGCTTGAACAATATTCAAACAAAATCAAAATACATGGAGTAAAAAGCAGTTGCCCCCCATCCCCTTTCCCAGAGGAAATCTTTCTTATCAGTGCAGAGGGGTCTGGCTAGCCTTTTACTATGCATATACAAACATGTACGGGGCCAATTTGAGTTTTTGACTCTAATCTCAAGTGTACTGGGAACATTACATGCCATTATTTTCCGTAAGTCAACTTAAATCTTACCTTAACTGCAACTTTCTTTAAAAGTGGTAGAAAACTCAGTCTTAGTCAAGGATCCAGGTAAGGGTGGTTGGAGAGGTTTCCTAGTCGTGGTGGCTGCTATCAGTAACATTGCATTAGCCTCACTGAGACCTTAAGCTTTTACTGTACAACAGAAGATCTATTGTCATCAGGCTGATGCTTGACAACAGCTTGAGAGATGCTATTGCCTTCTCACTTACAAAAATCCTGAGGCAAGAAAATCCAGGGACTTGGCTCCTTGCCCAGACTCGGGGAAGAACAAAGATAGAAAACAAATTAATATCTCAAAAAGTGTCCTGCCACATCTCTCGGTGTGTGTGTGTGTGTCAAATTCTACTGTGCTTTTTTTCTTTCACCATATACCATATCAGAAACACACTTCTGTGTCAAAACATACAGATTTCCTGCATTCTTTCCAAAAATGGCATCATATATTTCTAGAATGGTTTATTTTAACCACTATTTCTAGGAGTCCTGTTAGCACAATGATTAAAAACTCAGATGCTAACTGAAAAGTCAGTGGTTCAAACCCACCAGCTGCTTTGCAGAAAAAAGATAAGGCAGTCTTCTTCTGTAAAGATTTACAGCCTTGGAAACCCTATGGAGCAGTTCTACTCTGTTTTATAGGGTTGCTATGAGTCAAAATCAATTTGACAGCAATGAGTTTGGTTTGATTTTAGTACCCGTGGTGGACATTGACATTCCTTTGAGTGTTTGGCTATTACAAATAATGCTTCAGTGGCCTTCCTTGTACTCAAAGCTTTAAGTAAAAGAATGAGCTTATCTGTAAGTTAAATTTCCTAGAAACGGAATTGCTAGGTCAGAGGACATATACACTTAAAATTTGGATCCCAAACCACCAAACTCATTGTTGTCAAGTCAATTCTGACTCATACTGTCCCTACAGAACAGAGTACAACTGCCTATATGGTTTCCAAGGCTATAAATCTTTACAGAAGCAGACTGCCACAGGTTTCTCTCCAGCACAGTGGCTGGTGGCTTAGAAACACTGACGTTTTGGTTATCAGCCAAATGCCTTAACCACTGTGCCACCAGAACTTCTTTTAACTTGGATAGATATTGCCAAATTGTGCTCCAAAAATTTGCATCAATTTGCAAGTTTATCTACAATGTATGAAAGTTTCCTTGCACCTTTAACTAAGGATTTCGGGATTTGGGGGTTTTCAAAGTTTCTAGTCTTTGTTGTTGTTGATTTTTTTTGTGTAGCTCTTTATGAGTGATTCTGAGCATTTTTCATGGCTTTTGGCTGTTGGAATTTCTTTGTATGAACTACCTCTTTGTTGCCTACTTTTTCTATTGCGATAACCATCTTTTCTCAATGATTTTAATAATGATTTGAATGTTAAGGACATTGATGTCCACTTATTTTAAATATATGTGCTTCTTTTATTATATGTGCACATTGGAAATGATCTCCCCATGCTACATAACTTCTGATGTTGAAGTAATTTTCCCTTTATGACTCAATGTCCAGACTGATCTTGCTTCTGTGTGAACCTGCACTTGCCTCTCCCTAGGGGAACCCTTCAATGGCCAGCTGGTACCGGATAGGAGCCAGGACAAGGGAGAAGAAAAAGAGAGGAGCGAGGAGAAGGAAGGTGTGCACAGCGAGGCGCCCGAAATATTCACCCCAGAATCAGCCCAGACCTTCCCTGTCAGGCAGCCAGATAGGTTTTCTTCCCATCGACCAGACAATTCAGTGCCACCAGCAGCACCACAGCCCCCGCGGAGAAGCCGAGATCACAACTGGAAGCAGCTGGGGACCACAGAATGCTCGACAACCTGTGGGAAAGGTGAGTTGTGTGTGGTACCGGAGGTCCCTGCTGAGCTCGAGCCTGGGCGGGCCTGAAGGCCATGGAAGACCTCACCTCCATGAGCCTGACATGAGATGGCACATTAGCGTAACACATGCGCTTTCTTTTCTTTTCTTTTTTTAACCCAGAGATCCCACATATATTTTGTTGTTTTGTTTTATTTTATTGAGATTAAAAGCTATAGACTAAAACGTTTGCCAATTCAACATTTTTTACACATACAATTCAGTGAGATTGGTTGTGTTCATCATGTCGTGTAACCATCACCACCATAAATTTCCAAATTATTCCACCACTGTTAACAGAAACTCCATGACCCCTAAGCAGTGACCCTCTCCCTCCCAATAGCCACTAATAAATGTTCATCTCTAGACATTTGCCTAGCTCTGGTGGCATAGTGAATAAGTCATTTGGCTGCTCACTTGAAGGTTAGCAGTTCAAACCCACCAGCCACTCCACAGAAGGAAGATGGGGCAATCTACTTCCATAAAGATTTCCAGCCTTGGAAACCCAATGGGGATCTCTATGAGTCGGAATTGACTCTATGGCAGTGAGTTTTTTTGGTGTACATTTGCCTAAGGAGCTCTGGTGGTATAGTGGTTATTTGGCTGCTAACCAAAAGGTCAGTGATTCGAACCTACCAGCTGCTCCGTAGAAGAAAGATGAGGGGCAGTCTGCTTCTGTAAAGATTAATCACCTTGGAAACCCAATGGGGGTCGCTGTTGGAATCAACTCGATGGCAGTGAGGGTTGTTGTTTTTGTTTTTGTTTAGATATATTTGCTTATGTCATATAAGTGGCTCATATGATATTTGTCCTTTTGTGTCTGACTTATTTCATTCAGCACATTATGGCATGTATGAAGACTTCATTTCTCTTTATGGCCAGATAATACTCTGTTGTGTGAATGTACCACATTTTGTTTATCCATTCATCTGTTGATGCACATTTAAGTGGTTTCCTCCTTTTCGCTCTTTGTGAGCAGTGCTGTCTTGAACATTGATGTACACATACATTTTTTATAATGACAATTGTTGTTTGTTGTGACAATACACTCACTTATTTCTAGAGCTCATAGCTTATGTACAAGTCAAAGTTGTGGAAGATTTACACAAATGCTAATTGAAATGCAGCCTCAAATCTAAGGATTTGAGAAAAACCATGTTTGGGGGCCTTGGAGTGTTAGTTAGCTTTGCATTCCTCAACATTCACCCTTTCATAGTCCCTCAGTAAAATCTTAGTCCTGGATTCATCCCATTATCTTAGCCCAATCAACCTAAAACCACCATGGATGAACTTTTAGTCCCCAAAAAATCAGATTTATTGACTCAGATTTATTGCAACAAGAGGAGCCGTGAGCTATCTCTCCAGACAAGGGAAAACACAGAGTTCTTATAGGATTTGGGAGAAGGGTGGAGTTTAAGTGAAGTTTAAATAAAGCTGTACTTTGATGGACTCAAAGCAAAGCACAGCTAAGTATAAGGGATTCATACCAATCTAGACTGCAAAGTGGACCCAAGGTCCTGTTTCCTTGAACACTCCAAGTTAAGATAGATATGGAATGTGGTGTCTAGAAACCCCTTAACTGAACTTCTTCATTTGGGTTGGTGATGGATGCTGCAATTCTGTTTCAAAGTAGCTTAGATCCTCAGGGCACACATGGGATGTCTTCTCCTTATAAAATTTCAAACAACAAAATTACTGATAGTAGTTTACTACGATTTTAGAGAACAAGGTTTCTCAGTTGAGTATGAAAGAAAGCAGTAGTCACTCAAAGAAATGGGGGTCATTATGCCACTATCCAGCTTCAGTGTGCCCTTGGGAGAAAAATTGTTTCTGTAACTTTGTAGCTACTTTATTTGTGTCTGATGAGTGGCTGAGCAGATCCTTCCTTTCTCAGTCTATTTTTACTTTCTCATCTCAATCCACCTTCTCGGTTTCCCCAGGCTGCTGAGCACTACTGGCCAGAAGGGCACAGCTTTGCACATTGATGCCACTCAGCTCCTCCTTCTCCAACCTCAGGCAGCCTTCAGGATCCGCCTGCCTCTCGGCACTTTCCGCTCCCATGACCCTCCTTCCAACCTTCATAGCTCTCAAGACCCCTACCAATCCACACTCACTCTCAGCAAAACACTTCCCTTCCTAATTCGTGAGGAAATAGAGATGGCCACTTAAACACACACTTTCACAAACATGTTCACATTGGTAACCAGTGTCCCTCCCCCTGTGCACGGTTGGAGGGCACGCAGGCTTTCCATCTACAGTCTTTGGCCAGCCGTTGCACCTTTGCTCTTGATCCACTCTGCCTTCCCCTCCTCCCATCTCCGTAGGGCTCCTCAGGTGCCCGCCCCATTGATTGTCCTCTCTCCCGTCTTCTGCTTGTCTCTTCTCTCCACCAGCTCCTTCCCTTTGGCTCATGAACATGATCAAGTCACTCCCTTCCTAATTTTATTTTTTTTTTTAGTCTCTTGATCCTACACCCCCTGCACTCCCTGTCCCTGACTGTCTCGCTGTCTCTGCCCCATTTTCTTGACAGACCACTGCAGTCTGGTTTCTGCTCCATCCACTCCACTGAAATCTTTCCAATCACTGATGGCCCCCTGTTGCCACATCCAGTAAACGCTCCCAGCCCTTAGCTTATTAGACCTTTCTGAGACATTTGATACTGCTGCCTCAATACTAAAGGAGCTCTGGTGGCTCAGTCCCTAAGGCATTTGACAGCTAACCAGAAGGTTGGCGGCTCAAACCCACCAGCCACTCTGTGGAAGGGAGACTGGGCAATCTACTTCTGTAAAGATTTACCACCTTGGAAACCCAAAAGGGGTCACTATGAGTCAGAATTGACTTCCTGGCAGTGAGTTCAGGTTCAGTTCACTATTAAGGAGCTCTGGTGGTCCAGTGGTTATTAACACATTCAGCTGCTAACCAAAAGGTCAATGGTTCGAACGCACCAGCCACAGGAGAAAGATGAGGCATTATAGCCTTGGAAACCCTGTGAGGAAATTCTACTCTGTCCTATAGGATTGCTATGAGTCAGAATCAACAAAATGGCAGTAGATTTGTTTCTCTGTGGTTTTTTGGTCACAAATACTGCTTCCAGAAGTTCCTTGATTAGGAATGTTAATTCTAGAGGAGCAGACACTCACCTCTCAGATTTTTTATATCCCTGGGTGGCATAAGCTGTTTGCACTCAACTCCTAACCTGAAGGTCAGCTATTTGAAGCCACCCAGCGGTGCTATGGAAGGAAGGCCTGGTGATCTGCTTTTCTTAAGATTATAGCCAAGGAAATCCTATGGAGCTCAATTCTACTCTAACACATGAGGTCACTATGAATTGGAATCAATTCAATGCCACTGGGTTTGGTTTTTTTGTTTGTTTCTTTCTTTCCTCTGCCAGGACCTCACGAGTTAGCATTCTGTGGGATTTTGTCCTTGGATCATTGATTTGATCTCCCTGTATTTTCCCCTTGGAGAAATCTCATCTTTTTTCCTTATTTCAACTGTCATCTCTTGGCCCTGATTCCTCCTGTGCAATCCAAATCATATTCAACCCCCTGCCTTGGTCTGTGTAGTTGACAGTTCAAAGACACTTCAAAGTCAATATGTCCCCAAGTGAACTTAGCATACTCTCTTCCTCTGCCCAACAGGAAGTCTGCTCTGTTTCCTGGATGCCCATCTCAGCTCCTTCTGCCAACTTTGTTGTTGTTGTTACGTGCCATCGAGTCGGCCCTGACTCATAGCGACCCCTCCTTGGATTTCCGAGACGGTATCACTACAGAAGTAGATTGCCCAGTCTTCCTTCTGAGGAGTGGCTGGTGGGTTTGAACTGTCAGCCTTCTGGTTAGCAGTCAAGGGCCAACTTTACCTCCTACTAAATGTATGGAGGCTGGCTCCTTTACTCTCTCCCTCTTGTTCTTCCTTCTTCAGGCAGCAGGATCCTTGTCTTGCTTCCTCAAGTCCACCCTCACAATCTGCCAGAGATCTATCTGAGATGTGGGTCTGCCCCTGTCACTGCCCCTGACAGTCATGCCATGTCTGTGATGGCTATAATCAGAGCTTCAACAGAGGCTTGCATGACCCTGCCCCACCTCTGGGGGAATCTTTGACTGCCAAAATTAGCACATTTTTTAAAAAAAGCTTCAAAACTACTCCTAAAACTTCATCTTTTTCATTAGAGCTTTGGCTTAGAAGCTACTGAGAATAGAATTTTGGTCATGGGTTCTTCTGAGGGGCTGAAGCTCTTCCTTCCTGGAACTTCTGCAGGTTCCAGAATGACTTGATAACCAGAGTACTGATTTACAGAGGTTTTATTGTGTATGTTTAATATGTGTGCAAAGAATGTACACTGGAGACTCATTGGACCAACTTCTTTTATATAAGCTTTGTGAGGGAAATTAAATGCCTGTAGAATGTGTCTTGACAAAGGCAGAAAGCTCTAGATAATTACATGTTGAGGCCAAAATCATTTTAGTGAGAACATGCCCTTGATGTTAATAGAGGTAAGCAGTAGGAAGCATAATTTATATAGAAATCCAAGATCAAAATGTTTTATTACCGTGACATTCCACTATTTAGGTAGTGACATGATACCTGTTAAAGGATCCAGATATACTCAGCACTAGGGGAAAATAAGAAAGAGTCATTAAAAGGATGAAAATTGTCACATAAGTTTACATCAAAGGTGGCAGGTACAGTTTCCCTTCCATTTCATATCTTGAATGGTAGCCTGAGCCAAGTCTTTCCAGCAAGGGTGAGATGTAGCCCTGTCCAGAGCCCAGACAGCATTGCAGTGTGATCTAATGGGACAAGGACAGGAGCATGTGCCATTTGTCAGCCTACCCTTTATGATGCTCACACACTCCTGTGTTCACTGCACAAAACCAAAAAAAAAAAAAAAGTTGCCATTGAATCAATTCAGACTCATGGTGACCCCATGTGTGTCAGAGTCCCACTGTGCTCCATAGGATTTTCAGTGTTTGTGACCTTTCAGAAGCAGACCACCTGGCCTTTTTTCCAAGGGTTCTCTGGGTGTTGAACCTACAACCTTTTGGTTAGCAGCCAAGTGCTTAACCATTTGCACCAAGTGGCCCTTATTTGTTCCACAGGTACCACTTACTCATCTGGGAGGGTGTATAACAGATCTCTATCTATTTTGTGCCAGCCATAAATGGAGGGCCCCCCATATCTAAAGGTTTCGGTTATTTTGCCCCACTTCCACCCCAATCTGTGTGATTTACAGTAAGTTTTTTTTTTTTTTTTTACAATCTACCTTTCTTACCATTCTCTGCTATCTGGCCTGCAAACTCCTGCTTACACTCCACAATCTAGTTCCGATACCACGACCTCTCTGAAGCCTTTTTGTGCTTCTGCAAGACAGCCCTGAGCACTTCCTCTTTGGGACTGCCAGCAGTTTGAGACCATTTGGTCACAGCCATGCTTGGCTTGGCTGTCTCCTTATAGCACACACTTGCAACCTCTCCACCTGGCCTCACACCAGGCAAATAAATAGTAGATGCTCCTCAGATGTTTCCTGAATGGATGAATATGTTGTCACCACTCTTCAGATATGGAATATATGAGCTCCTAGAAGAGATACAAGGGTATATTTTACATTTCCATTGTATCTTGGCTATACAAGTCTATTATCATCATTACTCACATTCCATGAGTAGCATAAAGAAAGTGGATGAATGTTTTCAAAATGGAAGGATTTTTTTCCAGATTTCTTTATTATTTTGTTTAGTATTCTAAGATAGCACTTCTCACTTGCATTGCTATTATTTTGTGTATGTATGTGGATTCTTACTAGATTATGAGTTACAGGATTTAGCATCCACAATATCCACTTTAAATACTTAACATATATGTACACATACATGCATGTGCACCCACACATACTCTTAGCATCTGCCACTCAGAATGCCTGCGATGACACATCCATCTTCTTTTTTTACCCTAATACCAGCACTCATGTTCAGGCCAAAGTGATGCTGAAATAAAAACAAGGATCCACTGTTCCCCTAAGCCTTCTTTCTCTGATAATCCTAACTCCTTTTTGTTTCCATGTGACATAAACCAGATATGCAAATGGATGCAGTCCCTGTAGACACCCCTTCTTTGCTCCCTCTAAAGTTTGCTCCCTGTTGGATGTCCAGCGCAGGTGAGGTAGTGTGCATGCACACATTTAGTTCATCTTACGACAGACTGAGACCAAAGTCAACAGGAGCAACAAGTGTTCCATGACCAAGAACTCACAGGCCAGCCAGCACTGTCCGACTTTATGCACAACCCAAATCCTTCTCCTGTGATTTTGCCAGTGGTCCCAGCACAGATCCTCTTCCAGACTCATCCCTTAAGTGGAGCTGCCTTATCCCACATTTCTATGCCTCTAAGATCAACATTTCTCTTTTTTGAAATGCTTTCATAACATCATCACCACTGGGAGGCGCCCTGTTGCCAGGTATACAGGAGTGGCTGATGCTTGGCCCAGACCTCTGTGCACCTGGTCAAACTCTCTGCTTGGCTTGGTTGATTGCTCGAGTTCCAAGACAAGAATTAATCAATTTTCTTCTTGCTTTTTACTTTGTCTCTCTTGTATAACATCTCACTGACCTCTCTACACTTCTCCCTGAACTCACCAACATCCTTCGTTTTATTTCCACTGACTACCTGCCATACATTTCCCTCTTCCAAGCCAGCATCCTTCTATTTCAATCAATATGCCCAACACAAAACCCAACTGAACCGATCCCAGACTTTTCCTGCTGCCTGAAACCCAGCCAGCACCTGATCTCACCATCTCATTCTTGCTAGCTCCCAATTAGGGGAATAATTGAATCGCATGCTTGGACCCTAAAGAGGTGCCAAGGTGCCATTTTAAGTGACAGTCTCCCTTTCTTCAGAAATTGGAACTGACCCAAAGAAAGAGAGAAATTGTAGCCTCTGGGCCAATAATGATAATTCCGTTTTTTTGTTTTGTTTTGTTTTGTTTTGTTTTCACCATCAGAGAGAGAGCCTTGGTGTTCATTTTCTTGGCTATCCACTGGGGCTGGACCCCAGACTGTGTGCTGTAAAGCCAATAAAAGGGTGGATGGCCAAAGCAACCCCAAGCAGGACCCATCTTTCCAAGGCCAGACTAGTCCTATGGTAATCTATTACCCTTTTAGCTAAAAACATTGAATATTCCCCTTATTTGAGTGACACATGTCAAAGGTTGGGAAGGAGCCATCTGGTCATCTGGAGAGAACAGCCTGGTGTGTCCCCAGCACACAGGGTGGGTGGGTGTGTGTCCAAACTCCGAGTCAGCAGTCAGCCCGGCAGAGAATTTTTATGCCGTTGGAGCAGTAGATGGTCTGAGAAAGCAAGTTTAGGTGGTGATGGTCTATTGGTGACTTATAGGGCAATTGGACAGACTCTTTGGAATCAAGATGTCCTAGGAAACTTTGGGTGATCAGTAAGCAACTTAATGCATTCTCAAGTAAGAAGTACATGGAGATTCTGGAACAGTAGGCACTTTTGCTTTCCAGTCCACACACTGATAAGTGCTAAAGTTAAACCCAATTTGTCTGGAGGGGAAAGAATAGGCTAATTAATGGGCTCTGTCCATAATCCGTTAGCAGCTGGCTCCCAAGTGCGTACATTGCAAGCCATGAACCAAGTCTAATTTTTCTTTATAACTCAGCACAATGCCTTGTGGATATTATGTGTTAAATGTTTGTTGGATTTAATTTAAAAATCTCTTAATGGAAGCAGATACGTAGCTGGACAAAATTTAATTCCATAAATGTTTTGGCTTCCCATTAGTTTTATGGTCAGTACTGCTTTTTGCTCAGCTAATAAGTATGCTTAATTGGAATGTTATTTTAAATAATGGTCCCAAGTTATAGCTACATTGTAAATTTTTACTGCAAAAGTAATTTAGATAAGTGATTGTTCCAACTTCAAAACTGTCTTACAAACTGTCAAGTTTCTTACAAAAACTACCCTCTGGCTCAGTGTGTCACATAAGATTGGTTTAAGGAAGCACTGAGGTACTTTTCGTGGCTGATGAAGTATTTAGACTCTTATATTAAGTTATCCCTCAAGTTGCAATTAAAATTGAGTCAAGGTAAAGATTCAGAAGATATAAATGCTATATAAAAGATTAACAGATAAAACAGAGATGTAAAATAAATGATAGTTTTCTGCCCTCCAGAACTGTGTACTGGCCTGAACTTTGGGGTGGAGCGTGTTTTCGTGAAGAAGTGTCTTACTCTTCAGGTGGTTGGGTTGCACTTCAACTGGTTACATTTCTCACTTAATAAACATCCATGGTTAATATGCTAGTGCTGCCACCAGGTGGCAGCAGAGAGAGGTTAGCGTTGCTTTTTTTTTTTTTTTTTTTTTCACTTTTTAATTGACACTTGAAAGCTAGACACTCTCCTTATCAAATTCTGCCTTTTTATGCAAAATAGATTTCTCTTTATGAAGTCGATGAGACTAGGTTGTGTATCTCAAAAAAACTCAGGTAGTGACTGGTTTTTTTAGCAAAGTAATAAAAACAAATTATTAAATCTCTGATAAATATTCATTGAAGACTTTTATTTAGCACTTGGCTGGCGGTTCAAACCCACCAGCCACTCCTCGGAAGGAAGGTTGGGCATTCCTACTTCCGTAGTGATACTGCCTCGGAAACCCAAGGAGGGGTCGCTATGAGTCGGGGCCGACTCGATGGCAAATAACAACAACAACACTAAGGCACTAGGAGCTCTGGTAGCATAGTGCCTAAGGCACTTGACTGCTAACCAGAAGGCTGGCGGTTCAAACCCACCAGCCACTCCTCGGAAGGCAGATGGGGCAATCTACTTCCGTAGTGATACTGCCTCGAAAATCCAAGGAGGGGTCGCTATGAGTCGGGTCCGACTGGAGGGCACATAGCAACAGCAAACAACACTACTGTAGGGACTGTATTACAGGGATGAACACGAACTAGTCTTGTTGCTGAGAAGCTCACAGTGTCATGGGAAGCAGACACACAGTCAAATAATTCAATACCGTTAGATCAGTCCTTTAGTAGAAGAATGTGCAAAACGCATTAAAAGAGAGGAAGTTGAGGGGGGTTCAGCTGCTCTTCTAGCCTCCCTTGAAACTTCTTACATCTCTGCTTCAACCTAACTGGATGCTCTTCCTCTCTTACTTGTACCTGGCACTCCCAAGCCAGTCTGTTGGGCACTTTTGTCCAGTTCAGTGACCTAGACAGCCCCCTCCATCCAAACACACATGCACACACTTACCCAAACTGAGCCTCTCCCTGGGACCCAGCTGGACTCATCTAGGACCTTTCTCCTTGCTGCCTACAGAGAACCTTCAAGCAGTTACTATTTGTGTTCATTTTATAGTCACTCCCCTAATACCTTGAACTGTTGTGAAAATCATTTTTATCTGCTTTTCAACATGTTCAGACCCTGTCCACACATAAGCTCTTTGAGGGCAGGGACTGTGTCTTACCCCAGCAAAGCTACAAAGATGTGTAGCAGAAGTGAGTGCATACATGAAGGAGGGAGCATGTGCATGGAGTCTCCTCACTGTCTGTGTGTTGTGTCTTCACCAGCACTTGGATGGGTAAAGACACTGGCCTCTGAAATCCCCTCTCTGTGCATCTGCACCCATCGTTCGAGTGTGTGGGACTGTATTGCAAATGTTGTGCTTGTCATTGTCATTGCAGGATCACAGTATCCTATTTTTCGCTGTGTGAACCGAAACACTCACAAAGAGGTCCCGGAGAGCTACTGTGACTCCAGCATGAAGCCGACCCCCGAGGAGGAGTCCTGCAACATCTTCCCTTGCCCAGCTTTGTAAGACAGACTCTCCATTTAAGTCACTTACTATCAAGTCACTTCTGGTTGCTTGTGGATAGGGCCTTAATAGCAGATTTCATGTATTTTTTCAGGTTCTGTTTTTTAAAAAAATAGACCTGATTTTGTTTAGCTGTTTTAGGTTTACAGAAAAATTGTACATAAAGCACAGAGAGTTCTCAATGCCCCCTCTCCTCCTGTGGAGACACACTGTGTCTCCTGTGACTAACATCATCATTCTTGTGGTCCAGCTGTTAAAACTGATGGACCGATATTGGCACGTTATTGACTAACATCCATAACTTTACATTGAGGAGCTGTGGTGGTGCAGTGCCTAAGGCATTTGACTGCTAACTAGAAGGCTGGCAGTTCAAACCCACCAGCCCTCCATGGAAGGAAGATGAGGCAATCTACTTCCATAATGATTTACCACCTTAGAAACCCAGTGGGAGTCACTATGAGTCACAATCGACTCAATGGCAGTGGGTTTGGTTTTATATATATAGGCTACATTCAGGTTCACACTTAAGGCAGTAAATCTTTAAGGAAGTAGATTGCCTCATCTTTCTTCCACAGAGTGGCTGGTGGGTTTGAACTGCCAACCCTCTGGTTAGCAGTCAAATACCTTAAGCAGTATGCCACCAGAACTCCTTAATGACAAAGGAGAATATAGGAAACTGTGATGGAAAGTAGTTAATGAAAAAATAATGAACCCTGGGAGATGTCTTAGTTCCAAAACTGGTTCTTGTTCTACAGGGCAATAAAATGAATCTTTGGGATTGTTTTTCCTACTGGATAAAGAGCATCTATGCCTTCTCCATTTTCTGTAGCTTTACCATCTGGACAGGCCCTCATCGATAGTCAGTAATATATGGAACAGTTACGTTCCTTAAAGGGTCAGAGGGTGGGTTTTAAGCAAGGCTCGCTCTGAGGGTCACCCGTAGTGGTTCCAAAGATTCTGTGTAAACTGTTGGGGGTCTCCCACTGTCTTCCTGTTGATCGAAGGTTCTCTCTTGCTGCTCTCTTGTTCCTGAGCTAGCTGGGATATCGGGGAATGGTCCGAGTGCAGCAAAACCTGTGGCCTGGGCATGCAGCATCGCCAGGTCCTGTGCCGCCAGGTGTATGCCAACCGCAGCCTGACAGTGCAGCCTTACCGCTGCCAGCACCTGGAGAAGCCTGAGACCACCAGCACCTGCCAGCTCAAGATCTGCAGTGAGTGGCAGATCCGCACGGACTGGACCTCGGTACGGCTGGGTGGCTCTGCACCAAGACCCCCACCACGCTCCCACCTTCCCCACCAAGACCCAAGATGGGCTAAGTTCTCCAGGGGCGAAGTCATCCCATGGGGTTTGGGGTGGCCTGTTTTGCAAACTGCGGGATGTGTCCATGGCTCAGCAGTCCCAAAGCAAGTTTTTGCTGTGGTTTTAGATTAAGCCACTTGCTGTGCTCCCACTGTGGTGTGTCTGACCCTCACAGCCATGTTAGATGTGCAACGTCTCGGACACCACCCCAGCGCACTCTGCTTTTAACCTGCTTCCTGCATAATCATGTATGCGCATGAACATTTGAGAGACTGGCTCTAAAACACAGCTTTACAACTTTTGACAGCTCCCATTGCCCACCTCCACAGCAGATGAGATGGAATTCCTCTGAGGAATTTCCCAATCTCCAACATCCCTTCCTAGGGATATTTATTTCATACTGATCCCCACATCCTCAGTCCCAGAAACCCTGCTTTTCTTCCCAAGACACCCCATACCCTTCATACTTCCCTGCCCTTGTTGATGCTGTTCCCTCCACCTGTCCCCAGCATTTCCTCCGATGAGCTCCTACTCAGCCTTCAAGGCCCATCTCAAGAGCTCCTGCCCCTTGTGAAGTCCCTGCAGAATGAGTCACTCCATCCCCTGCTTGTCCCCCTCCTTTTGCTGACTAAGATACTCTTTCTCTGCCAGAGCACCCCTCTAGATGAGGTTATTTGAGAGCAAATTTCATATCTTCATTTTTTAATCCTTATCACCCTCTGGCATGTGCAATTTAATGGCCAATGATTTTATGGATCTTTCTCTTTCAGAGAAATACAAAATCATGTTGATTTGTGAACTATGAGACCAGCAGAATTTCTGTGGGAAAAAAAAAAAAAAATCCTATTGCAATAAGAGTAAAGTTATTTTCTCCTCATCCCATTCTTGCCCAATGTCATCCAAACATTGCCAAATTCAGTGACTGCTAAATTCCATATCAATATATTAGAAAGGGTCTCCAAGTGAAGACCCTCAAACACCAAGTGAAGAAGAGAGAAGAGACTTGAGACTCCATCCAGTCCAACGTTTTTCAATCAGCTCCCCAACATACAAGTATAAGGGGTCATGAGTACTTTGTTACTAATAATAATACTAGAAGAAAATTTATCCTTTGCTTTTTTTTTAACCAATTAAAACACACTGAAAGTCATCCTTTTATCACTCTTACTCATTGCATTTGAGATGCCTTGCTTTTTGAGGTGGTAACAAAGGAGACAGGGTCAAGGCTAATGTGCATCACCATGGCTGACTTTAAGGGTGAGCCCATGGGAGTTGTGTGCATAAGAACCTCATTGCCCTCAGAGCCACACTGGGGGGAAGGCTGACAATTGCTGGTGGATCCAACTCCTTCCGATCTTGCTCTCCCATTTTACAGATGACAAAACTGAGGCCCAGAAGGGCAAGGTAGGAAAGATATTTAAGAAAGCCTTAGTGAAAAGGGTTGTGACATTTCCTAGGGTTCATATCCTCCCCCAGGTAGTTAGTTGCATTACAGGGAGCCCTCATCACAGTTCATGACACAGTGGACAAAGGATGAGGCCACCATAACAGATAAGCCCTTCTTTCTTGGAGATCAAACTTTCCACTGATGCAGGCTTATTCTGTTTTAGTGCTCAGTGCCCTGTGGAGTAGGACAGAGGACTCGAGATGTGAAGTGTGTGAGCAACATCGGGGACGTGGTGGACGACGAGGAATGCAACATGAAGCTCCGGCCCAATGACATTGAGAATTGTGACATGGGGCCCTGTGCAAAGAGCTGGTTCCTCACAGACTGGAGTGAAAGGGTGAGCTTGGCAGCAGGCCATGGGGGTTCTCTGGAGCCAGAGACCAAGGTTCCTGCTGGACAGATAGGGAGGAGCTGAATGTCTCCAGGTGACATTGACCCTAGACAAATCACTAAGAGTGGTTTCTGAATGTGTAATAAACATCCTGGAAGTGAATGATTGTGGACCTCAGGTCCTTAAATGAGCTGAGGGGCTCTAAGTTTTAGGAAAGGGTGTGAAAAAGTTAGTTACATTCTGTTTAGAAGGAGCTCTGGTGCCACAGTGGGTAAGGTATTTATTTGGCTGCTAACCAGAAGGTCAGTAGTTCAAACTCACCAGCTTCTCCACAGGAGGAAGATGAAGGAATCTACTTCCGTAAAGATTTACAGCCTTGGAAACCCTATGCGGTTGCAGTGAGTTGGAACTGACTCAATGGCAGTGGGTTTGGTTTGTTCTCTTTAATACTCCCCATGAATGCTAAATAATAAAGTACTAAATAAATTAACTAATGATATCACATCTTTCATCCATTTTTGTGAGGTCTTGGCATACAATAGGGACAGGCCCTTTCCCTACTTCTTATAACTCAAAACCTTTCACATAATGTTTCCCTCCCAGTAATGTGGCCTGCCCCCAGGAATGATATCATCACTCTAATTCATGAAAGCAAAGCTTCAGAAATGCAAGCAATAGGAGGAAACTGATTTGGTTCAACAAATATGTGCCAGGCTTTTGACTCAGCATTGGGGAAATGATCGTGGTGAATAGATAGATGGGGACTCTGCCCTTAGGTTACTCACTTTCTAAAGAGAACAGCACCTGCTCAGGGTTGGTCACCAAGTGCCTTCCATGCTTCTTCAGTTATCCTCACAGTGCCTGGATGAGATTGTTGTCCTTAGGTGCCATCAAGTCACTTTTGACTCATAGTGACCCCATGACAGAGTAGAACTGCCACGTAGGATTTTCTAGGCTATAGTCCTTATGGGAGCAAATTACCAGGTATTTGTCTTGCAGAGCTACTGGTTGAGTTTGAACCACCAACCTTTTGGTTTATGGCCAAGTGCTTAACTGTTGTGCCACTTGGGCTCCTTCCCAGATGAGGAGGTGGTTTTTAATGCCATGTGATAAGTGAGGAAACAGGCTTGTTGGTAAATATAATTAAAAACAGAATCTGCTCCCAACCCAGAAAACATCTCCACAAAGTGCTTTTATTTTTGAATAAGCATTCAACCAGAATGTGATACATTGCAGGCAACCTGTTAAAAGATCACAAAGCCAAGTAGATGTAACCTGTTTCATACATGTCTCAAAGGTACATGATGACTAACCCACTGCCATCAAGTGGATTCTGATTTTATGGTAATAAAGTAGAACTGCTCCATAGGGTTTCCAAGGCTATAATCTTTACAGAAGCAGACTGCCACATCTTTCTCCCACAGAGTAGCTGATGTGTTTCAACAGCCGACCTTTTGGTCAACGGCTGAGCATGTAACCACTTGTTTTGGTTACTTCATGCTGCTTTAACAGAAATACTGTAGGTGGATGGCTTTAACAGATAGGAATTTATTCTCTTACAGTTTGGAGGCTAGAAGTCAGAGTTCAGAGTGCCAAGCTCTGGGGGCTGAGTAAAAGCCCCTCAACCTTGGGCTTCAACTCTGCCTCTTGTTCTCGGCTCACTGGAGCTAGAGGTGTCTCTTCACTCAGGCAGCTGCTTGCTGCTGAGGCTGACAAACCCAAGGTCAACAAATAAAATGGCACAGTCCTAATATTACCAAACAACATGGCAGGCCACTAATTCAAGCCAGAGATAGTCCCAAGATCGGCAGACAACATGGCAAGCTGCTGAATGAAGACTTGGCTACATTCAGGGTCTCTAAGCATGCCAAAAACTAGAGACCTTTCTCAATGCTTCTCCTTATATGCTGGAAGCAGACCGCATCCCTAAGGCAGCTACTCAGCTGCTCCAGTAGATTCCACCATGGAGCTGATTACCAATCTCACCACGGGGAATGACTACATCCAGCTGCCCAGCCACTCAAAAACAAGCCCAGCCAAGTTGACACGTAACCTTACCTATCACACCACTGCACCACCAGGGCTCCTTATACAATAACTAGTCCTCAAATAAGAGAACTTGACAGCACCATTTGTCACGCTTTGTTTATCCTAAATTCACCTGGAGGCAGTTCTCTATCCTGTAAGGTTGCTGTGATTTGGAATCAACTCAACAGCAAAGTATTGGGTGGGGGGGAAAAGGGGGAGGTAGGAATGCCACCAGTGTTTAATTGCCTTTATCCAAAGAAATAACACCTTTCTCATGTCTTTATGGGAGCTCTGGTAGCGTAGCACCTAAAGCACTTGACTGCTAACCAGAAGGCTGGTGGTTCAAACCCACCAGCCACTCCTCAGAAGGAAGATGGGGCAATCTACTTCCATAGTGGTACTACCTCAGAAATCCAAGGAGGGGTCGCTGAGTCGGGTCCAACTTGACAGCACATAACAACAACAACAACAATATGTCTTTATGACAGGAGGTAGGTTTACAGATCAGCGCCTGCGGAAGTTAGGCTCATACCCTCCCACCCAAGCCAAGAGGTGGGGGCTGTCTTCCTTACTGATCACATGTTAATGAGATGGCTCCCAAGTCCTTGAGGAAACATTCCTGGCTTCTAACACTGGCTTATTTAGCATTTCAGGAGGATTTCTCAAAAGAGGCAAAAGAAAAATTATAATTACAAGGTTTCCAAAGTAAATACTCTAAGAGAAAGGGTAGTAGGGAGTCTCTTTTTTTACATCAGAGAAAATTATCTATAGTTTAGATTTGTATTTACCCTCATAGGCTCTGAAAAGTTAAAGAACTTGTCCAAGTTCACGAGACCAAGGAAAGGCAATGCTAGGGTTTGGCATGGGAGGCCTAGTGGCACAATGGTTAAGCGCTCAGATGTGTACCTAAAGGTTGGTGGTTTGAACATACCTGGTGACTTCACAGGAAAAAGATGTGGCAGTCAGCTCCCATAAAGATTACAGCCTATGGGCAGTTCTACTCCATCACATGGGGTCACGATGAATCGAAATTAACTCAACAGCACCAACAACAGCAACAGTGCCAGTAGATAGAGGCCTGAGTTTTTGCGTACTCATTCTTCTTCTGATGAGTATATTTTTGAAAATGAAAAACAGGACGGATAGTCTGACAAATATAAGTGTATTTATACCAACACTGGAATAGAATATTTGGAATTAAGACAGTCCTAGAAAATCCAAGATGGGGGGGATTGCCATACTGACATCCCATAATGGAGTTACCAATGCCAGTTGCCATAGAGTCAGTTACAACTCATGGTGACCCCATGTGTGTCAGAGAAGAACTGTGCTCCATATGGTTTTCAAGGCTGGTTTTTCAGAAGTAGATCACCAGGCCTTTCTTTTGAGGTACCTCTGGGTGGACTTGAGCCACAAACATCCAGTTAGTAGCTGAGCGTATTGACTATTCACACCACCTAGGGGTTCCCCGTAATGGAGTAGGGTGGAAAATAGCCAGGCGATGAGTAAGAGGTTGTCAAAAAGTCTGAGAGAGAGTAGGTAGGAAAACAAGGTGTTGAGTCATCCTTTGCACCTTTTGGAAGTGACTTGGGAACCTGCTGTGGGCCTCCTTGCCAACGCACCCCCTTCTGTCTTACAGTGCTCAGCGGAGTGTGGGGCCGGCGTGCGGACACGCTCAGTGGTGTGCATGACCAACCACATCAGCAGCCTGCCCCTGGAGGGCTGTGGGAACAACCGCCCAGCAGAGGCCACCCCTTGTGACAATGGCCCCTGCACTGGCAAGGTGGAATGGTTTGCTGGGAGCTGGAGCCAGGTGAGTGGCCAGAACTGGGTGCATTTCTGTCTGTCTCTGGCAAGCAGCAGCATAGCAAAGGGGTCAGGAACCCAGGCCTTGGTGTCACATACCAGGTCTGAACCCCAGCTCTACCACTGGCTACCATGACCCTGGAGAAGCTACTCTTGGAGTCCCAGGCAGTCAACAGCATTGATTGGACACCTAATCTGTGCTGTTTTAGGCATATGGGGTACATCAATGAACAAAACAAATATTCCTGCCTTCGAGGAGCTTATGGCCCAGCATGATTTCCTTGTCCATAAAATGCTAGTCATGACAGTACCTTTTGAGGTTACATGAAGGCTAAATGAAGTAATGTACAGTAAGTATTTAGCACAGTGCATGGCATATAACAAACCCTATAATACAATAGGAGGTAGCTGCTAATAAACCCACAGTTGTTAATAAAGGCAGTTTTATCAGTATTTGACAGTGTCAGAAGCAGAAATAGAAAAAATTAAAGTTGTTCATTATATGAACAGACACTACTGAATACTTTAATAATTTTATTTAACTGATCAATTAATTTTTCCCACTGTTCCAAAATTGAACATGAACTCATTAAAAAAAAAAAAAAGGTGGGAAAGAGTGTTCCCTCTTATTGCCCTGTTATAATTACCACCAGCATTTGAATCACTTACTCTTGGCTCCCAGGTCTGGCTGGTTTTCTGAGGATACTCCAGCTAATGATCATGATTCACATATCGTCAGGACCTTTGGCTCCATGTAGAATTTTTTTTTTTTTTCTCTTTTAAGTAGCTTTAAAACAGAAAGTAAAGCTGTCTCTATTTGTGGATAATATGATCCTCTATGTAGAAAATTCCAAAGAGTCCATGAGAAAACTTCTAGAGCTAATAGAGGAGTTAGCAAAGTTGTAGGGTACAAAGCCTAAGTAAAAATCACATGGGTTGCTATACACCAGCAATGAGAAATCTGAGAGGGAAATTAGGAAAACAATTCCATTTACAATAGCATCTAAGAGAATAAAATACCTTGGAATAAATTTAATCAGAGATGGGAAGGACTTATGCAATGAAAACTATAACACGTGTCCCATGTTCATAAATTGGAAGACTAAATATTGTTAACATGTCAACATTATAGATTCAACACAATCTCAACCAAGATTCCAATAACCTTCTTTATAGAAATAGAAAAACTAATCCTCAACTTTATATGAAATGGCAAGAGGCCCCAAATAATTAAAGCAATGTTGAAAGAGAAAAACAAGGTAAGAGAACACCAACTTCCTGATGTTAAACCATGCTGTCTGTTGCATTATAGAGCCACAGTAATCAGAACAGCCTGGTGCTGGTGTAACAATAGACACATAGACCAACGGAATAGAATTGAGAATCCAGAAGTAAACCCACATATCTATGGTCAACTGATTTTTGACAAGGGTGCTAAGTCCATTCAAAGAGGAAAGAAGAGTCTCTTCAATATATTGTACTGGGAAAATTGGATTTCTACACACAGGAAAATGAAACAGGATCCATGCCTCATATCATACACAAACACAAATTCAAAATGGATTAAGGACCTGAAAGTGCACATGAAAACTATAAAATTCCTATAAGAACAAATAGGGTCAATGCTGTCTGGCTTAACTTTCAATAATGGATTATATGATACTATAATAAAAATGAATCTAATAACCATTCCCTGGAGAAGGATGTCATGCTTGGTAAGGTAGAGGGTCGACAAAGGAGGGGAAGACCTTCGATGAAATGGATTGACACGATGGCTGCAACAATGGGCTCACGTATAGCAAGGATCGTGGAGCTGGCGCGGGATCAGGCGGTGTTTCGTTCTGCTGTGCATGGGGTCGCTATGAGTAGGAAACGACTTGACGGCACCTAACAACATAATAAAAACACAAATAGCAAAAGACAAATAAATGGGCTTTCATAAAAATTAAAAACATTTGCTCATCAAAATACTTTACCAAAAAAGTGAAAATACAAAGTGCTGCCTGGAAGAATATGTTTGGAAACTGTGATAGTTGGAGCTGTGTGTCAACTTGGCTGGACCACAATTCTGTGTGATTTACGCTGTTGTGATGTGGTTATTCTCATGATGGGATCAGATGATTATGTTTTGAGCAGGCAATCTGTTGAAAGGGAGTTTCCCTAAGGGTGTAGCCTGCTTTCAGTATATCCAAGGACATCCTGGGAAAAGAGACATTCTTCTGTGGATCGGGATTCTGTTGTGCTGCCTACAACTGTCCATGAGTGAACAGTCCACCATTCAGCCTGGAGATCTTGGATTTGTCATTAGTTGGAGTCAACAGCCGGTGTACTGCCTGCCAGCCTTGAACTCCACAGCCTCTGCAGTCACAAGAGTCGGGAAAAATCCTCCAGCTTGACGTGGAAAAGCCTCCAGCCTGACGTTTGATCCAGGAACTTTGGACTTGCCAGCTTCTATAAGTGTGTGAGCCATTTTCCTAAGATAAATTTCTCTCTATAGATAGATAGATAGATAGATATAGATATAGATATATGGCTATATAGATAGATAGATAGATAGATAGATAGGCATATATACTTTACTGGCTTGTTTCTCTAGAGAACCCAGTCTAACACAGAAACCATAGAGCCAACAAGAATCTAATAACTAAAATCTGTATAAAACTTCAATAACTTAATCATAAAATGGGCAAAGAAGGTGAATAGACATTGCAAAGAGGACAGCTGAATGGCCACCAAGCACATGAAAAGATGCTCAGCATCATTAGCCATCAGAGATGCAAATCAAAACCACAATAAGACACCATTTCAATCCCACGAAGATGGTTAAGATAAAAAAAGAAAATAACAAATATTGACAAGGATGTACGGAAATTGGAACCTTTATCCTTTGCTGGTAGGAATGCAAAATGGTACAGCTGATGTGGAAAACAGTGTGGCAGTTCTGCAACAAAATGAAAAAGAACTACCATATGACCTAGCAATTCCACTCCTAGGTATATATCCAAAAGACTTGAAAGCAGATACTCAAAATAAACTTGTACACCCAATGTCCATTGCAGCACTATTCACAATAGCCAAAAAGTGGAAACAACCTAAATGCCCATTAACGGATAAATGAGTAAACTAAATGTGGTACATACATACAATGGAATGCTACTCAGCTAGTAGGAGAAATGAAGTCTTGATACATGCTACAGTATGGATGGAGCTTGAAGACATTATGCTAAGTGAAATAAGCCAATCACAAAAAAGATAAGTATTGTATGACCCCACTTACATGAACAGACAAGAAAAGGCAAATATATAGAGAGAACAGAGTTCATTAGTGGTTTCCAAGGACAAGCAAGGGGAGTAAAGGAGGGTTAATGGTGATGGAAAAATCACATTGATTTAGGGTAGAGTTGCACAGCTAAGCATTGTCATTGCTGTCAATAAATTGTACACCTGTAAAATGTCGAATTGGCAAAAGTTGTGTATTAGATATATTTACAAAAACAACCCCCCCCCAAAAAAAAAAAAAAAGTAGCTGCTGAAGCTGCTTATGTACAATCAAACACCTCATGGGATTTGGTTCCTTGGTTTGGTGGTTTAGGGTCATGGTTTCATGAGACATCCCAGTTAATTGGCCTAATAACATGTTTAGTGCTTCTATTCTACCTCCTACTTCATTGTATGGTGCCTAGGGTCTTAAAAACTTGCAGGCGGCTATCCAAAGGCACAGCAATTGGTCTCTATTCACCTGGAGCAACAGAGGAAGAAGAGTCAGGTATAAAAGGAAGATATGGAATGTGTGGCTAACTGACTCCATGAACAACTGCCTCCTTCACCCTGAGACCAGAAGAACTGGATGGTGCCTGGCTACCATTACTGAACATTTTGATCAAAGATTCCATAAAAAAATCCTGGTCAAAAGGGTGGAAATGTAGAACAAAATTTCAAATTCTCATGGACTCTTCTAGTCTTTCTGGAGCCAAGAGAGTGGATGAATGCCTGAAACTATTGCCCTGAGATCATTTTTAAACTGTAAACCAAAAATATCCCCTGAAGTCATCTTAAAACCAAACAATAGTTTAGCTTAACTAGTAAAAAAAAAAGCAATCTGCCTTGAGTACTATACTCTTTTAAGAAATATCTGTATGGGATCAACAGCAACTTGAAAGATTAAATAGCAACCTTATGGGGCAGTGAGTTTATATTAATGATGGAGGAACAACTCAATAAGAGGGTGAGAATGGTTGCACGACTCAAAGAATGTAATCAATGTCACTAAATTGTACAGGGGGAGCTCTGGTGGCGTAGTGCCTAAGGCATTTGACTGCTAACCAGAAGGCTGGCGGTTCAAACCCACCAGCCACTCCTCAGAAGGAAGGTTGGGCAATCTACTTCCATAGTGATACTGCTTCGGAAACCCAAGGAGGGGTCGCTATGAGTTAGATCTGGCTCAAGGGCAAAGGGTTATAGGACTGTTATTAAAGACATTGATTGCTAGGACCTAAATGAGAAACTTACCGTAAGTTTGGGTATCAGGGGTAGCTGTGTTTTGGGGAGCTCTGGTAGCATAGTGCCTAAGGCACTTGACTGCTAACCAGAAGGCTGGTGGTTCAAACCCACCAGCCACTCTTCGGAAGGAATGTTGGGCAATCTACTTCCATAGTGATACTGCCTCGGAAACCCAAGGAGGGGTTGCTATGAGTTGGGTCCAACTCAATGGCAAATAACAACAACAAATTCTACAGGTGGAAACGGTTGAATGGGTATATGTTTTGCTGTGTATATTCTCAACAAAATACATAAAATTTAGGGGTGGGGAACAGAGCCTGAAAAAAATGTCCTTGTAAATTGATACAACCCTTTTGGAAAGCAATAAAAGTCAAGAACCGTTAAAATGTTCATTTGCCTTAACCCAGTCACCCTATTCCTGGGAATTCATGTTAAAGAAATAACCAACAAAAGAAAAAATAAAAGGCCTTTTAAACAGTGATGTGCATGACAACAGAATGTTTAGGAATATGATGGTACATCACAACTCAGTCAACTATTATGTTACACTAACAGTGACAGTTAGGTTGATGAAGAAAGTGTTTATAATAGAATGGCACGTGAAGACCAGAATATGAAAATATATGAACATTTTCTATAAACAGCATGAGGAAATACTTGTTTTCAAATTTTCTTTAATGTTTTTATAATCCGCCTATCAATAAGAAAGGGAGCTCTGATAGCGTAGTGCCTAAGGCATTTGACTGCTAACCAGAGGCTGGTGGTTCAAACTACTTCCATAGTGATACTGCCTCAGAAACCCAAGGAGGGGTCACTATGACCTGGGTCCAACTCAACAGCACATAACAACAACAACAACAGGCACTTCATATTTCTTCTCTTTCAATTCTGGGTTTACTTCAACCTTCAGTTGTCTTAGTACTGAGAGGTTTCTCCTAGTCTAAAGGCAGCAGGTACAACCAGGTCAATAAATAAACTAACATGGCCACTCCTCAGAAGGAAGGCTGGGCAATTTACTTCTGTAGTGATACAGAAACCCAAGGAGGGATTTGTATGAGTTAGATCCGACTCCATGGCAGTGCATTGCGTTTTTTATTATTATCAGTAAGAAAATTCAGAAGGAAAGAGAATTCAAGCAGCTCCAATGCCACTCCAGTGAATATCAGAGGTGAACATACTTGGTAACAGGTCCCAGCTGTTTTTCTCATTAGCTCTCTGACTTGAGGAAAGTCATTTAACCTCTCCGGTTAATCATGATCATTTCCTGATCTGTAAAATGAGGATGAGAACATGCTTCCCAGGTTGTTTCAGAGGTTTTCATGAGATGCTATGCATTAAGGGAGTTACTCATTTCTTAGGACACAGTTAGCAAATATTAGTTCCCTTTTCTTCGTGCTTATTCTTTTTAATGCCAACTATTTCTCAAAGTCCCTGGCTGACACAAGTGGTTAACTGCTTGACTTAACCAAGGCAAAAAGCTAGCAGTCCAAACCCATCCAAGGGCACCTCAGAAGACAGGCCTGGTAATGTACTTCTGAAAATCACAGCCTTGATAATCCCGTGGAGCAGTTCTCTCTGACACACAGGGGTCTCCGTGAGTTGGTAACAACTTGGCAGCAACTAACAAGAACAACAACATTTCTCTCTCTTTATTGGTGATAAAACACTTAGGACTTAAGCCCTGCAGAGGTGACTGTGCATAGAACACCAGTTACACCCAAAAACCATTTTTCATAGGCAGGGAAACTGAGGCAGTGGCAAGCATCCTATGTTAAAGTGTAATAGCAGATCGTAGCAGTTCACGCACAGTGAAGGTACAGTGTGGCTCAGCTCACCTGTATTCCACTCTCAGAAGAGGAGAATGTCATTTTCTATGAAGTGCTGCAGACAGTGAACAAGTGGGAGGCAGGAGAGGAGCAAAGGGTTATGCTGTGCCAAGATCTGGCTTCCATCTGCAGGAGGAATGAAAATGTCTTCTTGGGGACAGGGATGAACAGCAGGGGTGCACCCTGGGCTGAAGTCAGGAGACATGGAAACAAGTCTAGACATCATCACTAAATAATTCTGTGTCTTTGCCAAGACATTGTAATCTCTGAATTCTTCTGGGGGTTTAGGCCCTGAGTGTTTCACTATAAATAATGAGATAGAAAGAGTTGACATTGAAAATAATAACCATGGAGAAAAGGGGACAAATATTTATTATGCACTTCCCATGTCCCAAGTAACGAGTAACCCCCTTGATGTTATATATCATCTCATGAAAACCTCAGAACCAACCTGAGAGGTGTGTTCTTATCTTCATTTTACAGTTGAGGAAATTGAGGCACAGAGAAGCTAAATGACTTGCTTCACATCACAGAACTAGTGAGAAGTAGAGCTGGGATCAGTTATCAAGTGTGTCCTAGGTCTCTATTCACTTGCCCAGCAAGGGGTTTTCAAACATGACCCTTGACTGCTCTAAGGTTCCACATTTGTACCAAGTATATGAGACTTGATGTCTCTTTTTCTTATAGACCTCTTATTGACTTTAGATCTTAACTCAGAGCACTGTGAATGGTGTGAACCCTGGGGAAGGCCTCCTTGATTTCTGCTAATATTAGAAACAGGAGTTTATTGTCCAAAAGAGTCAGGACATAATTGAATGTGGACGAGGTTTTGATTCTAAATTTATAAGATTGTTGAAGCCTGCTGGCACCTCCCCACCCTGGGAATTTGATATTACTCCCAAGGAAAATGAAATAAAGCATGCTGATCTATTGATAATGTTTAAGTCTAAAACATTATCTGACTTCAGAATATACAAATAAATGTTCTTTCCAACCATATGGTTTGGATGAGAATTGGCATGTTACACACCCCACCGCCCTGGCCATGGTGATTAGTCCAAGGGTTGGGTGTGTGACCCAAGCTGAGCCAGAGTCCTTTCCTGGGACTTTTCATTTGGATTTAAGAGAAGAGACTGACTGGGAAGTTGTGAGCTCAGGTGCTATCAGTGGCCATGTTGAGGCCATGGAGAAAGCCAGCCCAAGGGAATGAGACCCAAGTCCAGAGAGAGACAGAGGCAAGGAGGTTTCTGGCTTCAGAGTCCTACTTCACTGAGGAAGAAAGATGTTTATTTTCCCCTGATCCCCTGAACCAAACTAGGAGTGTGTCGAGTCCAGGGAATTTTTTCTACTCTAGAGGCAAAGTATCTTAACTCTTACTCATAAGGTATCCTGCCAAGGCTATATTATTCAGGCCTGGAATTATTTGTATTGTTGTAAAAATATAGATAGCACATTTGCCATTTCTACATTTTTCATGTGTACAATTCAGTGAGATCAATTACATCAGTCATGTTGTGCAACCATCACCAGTTTCCTTTGCTTAATTTTCAGGCCCATGAACAAAAGCTCAAGGTTTCCTAAACAGTAATTCCCCCACTGATCCCTTCTTCCCACCCCTGGTAACCACTGTTAAACTCTGATCTCTATGTATGAAGTTTGGGCAATCTACTTCCATAGTGATACTGTCTCAGAAACCCAAGGAGGGGTCACTATGACCTGGGTCCGACTCGACAGCACATAACAACAACAACAACAACAGGCACTTCATATTTCTTCTCTTTCAATTCTGGGTTTACTTCAACCTTCAGTTGTCTTAGTACTGAGAGGTCTCTCCTAGTCTAAAGGCAGCAGGTACAACCAGGTCAATAAATAAACTAACATGGAAGAAAATAGCAACGTGAATTAAGAAGCCCTATCACTTTCTGGATGTATGTGAAGATAGCAAAAAAGAATGCATGGCAAAGCAAAAATTGTTGATGGTAATGGCTTAGGAAGGCAGGCTAGTTCATGCCCCCATGTTATCAATTTGTAGTCTGTTGGCTTGGGGGTTTTCTAATTTTTTCTGTAGGTAAGTGGATTTTTTCTCTTCTATTTTTTTCTTGATGATATGCTCACGTACAGCAAATCTGATATTAAGAGTTTTGGCTGTGGACATTGTTACTTGCTTTTTATAAAGTAGTAGATTGTTCAAAGTGTGTAAAAGTCTATAGATTACAGCTTTAAAAAGCTTTAATCAAAAAATATTAAGAGTAATCCAAATGTGAACAACAACAACAGAAAAAAAAAAAAAAAACATTTTACAAAGTGATATCCACTAAATAGGATAATTTATGAGCATATTTCCAGAAACTAACAAAATGAGCCAATGCATGTAATTGATTGGCTTCTTTGTGGGCACCACCTCTGAGCTTCAGCAACACATTGGGATTGGAATCAGTGGTCTGTCAGAGAGTCATGAACACGTACTCTTTTAAAGTAGAGCAAAGAGATGTATTGAAAGTTCGAAAGCAGTCCTGGCTGGTGAAATGTCTGATCTCACAGAGTGAAACTAAATGCTTCTCCCAAGGGGGAGAGAAAAGGGTATATTTATATGGTAGAGTTAGGAACTAACAGTGCAAAATCTATGAATGGTACTTAGTGAGGAAAGCAGTTGGAGATGAGATATCTCAAGGCCAGGAACTAAAGGAGATTGGTCTGGAGTACATATATGGGTCTTTGGGTTTGGTTATACAGGTTGACTGCAGGAGTATAGTGGCTACAGGGATGTACAGAGTAGTTATAAAACAACTACAAAGCATTCTTTCCCAAGGACCCTTGGTTAAAAAAAAACAAACAAACTATGTAGTGGAATAATATATTTCCTAAGGGTGATCAGCTCCAGCCATGTCTGATAAGCTTAATGGAGTCAGAACCTCACAGGAACATTCTTCCCTTATCCTTGGCTTGACCACAAAGAACTTTTTCTTAGTTACAGGCTTTTAAGTCTATGCAAAGGTCACTGGGTGCTAGAAAAGTTAGCAAGCATTAAGATGGAACCTGGACTCAGATCCAGACCAGCCATTTTACGAGGGTCTGCCGCCTCAGTGTTGGGAGTTCCTACACAGGTCAAAGCTTTCCTGCTGGTTGGGGGAAGGGATAGCCTTGACCTTAGAGGACATTGTCCCAAGTGTGAGGTTTTCTCAGCTTCATGTGTTTAGGGAAGTTTAATTGAACCCTTCATCTACAGGTATGTATGCTCTGGAAGACTAACTCGTTCAAGTGACCACCCTAAGAGACTAGAAGATAAACCAGAGTATTAGTTCATTATTTCACTCTGGCCCACTGGACAGAAACTCCCAAATTAACTCACTGGTGTATTCCTGCAGGAAGTCTAAGGGGAACAATTTCCGCCTCAGCACAGAGAGCACTATGATCTCAACAACCAGCATCCTCCAGCTGTGGCAACTCAATGCATCCACTCTCCATTCCAGAGACAGAACTGTTAGGAAAATCTGAATCCATAGGCAACTTCTCTAGAAACATTTCCCAGGTTCCCATGGGTTCTTCCCCACTGAACTAATTGTAGAAATTGTCCATAAAGACCCTTAGAAGGATGGTAGTTCTCATCCTCTCTCCATCACACCCATCTTTCTCTGCTTCTTTCTCCAGTGTTCCATCGAGTGTGGGAGTGGAACCCAACAGAGGGAGGTGATTTGTGTTAGGAAGAATGCAGATACCTTTGAAGTGCTGGACCCCTATGAATGTTCCTTCTTGGAGAAACCCCCCAGCCAGCAATCTTGCCATCTCAAGCCCTGTGGGGCCAAATGGTTTAACACAGAATGGAGCATGGTAAGTCACAGAGCTCTTGAGAGAGATTGTGTTTGTACCTCATTCCACCACTTTCCTCTTCTAGACACCTGTAGGGAACCTACTACATGCCAAACACTGGGCCCAGCCATGGAGTAGATTCTCCACAGCAATCTACTCCAGTTAGTTCCTATCACAGTGTCGTCTGACTCAGCCTACTTGGTTGAAGACACCTGATCATTGGATGGTCTTGATTTCTACATTGTAGAGGCCAGGAAGCAGTGAACTTGAAGCTTCAGTGGGGATCTTGTTTAAAAAGAACAATTCCAGGCATACCCTGGCCTAGAAATTTGCATTTGGGTTGGAGGAGGAATTCGCATTTTTAACAACTCCTTAGGTAAGTTGGATGCAGGTATCCTTGGACCACATTTTGAAAATTGCTGCTGCAGAAGACTGATGGCTGAAGGGACTCAAGAATGCTCTTTAAAATACCACACGATGCAGTGACCTCTTTGGAAAACTCACTGGAGGAATTTCTGTCAGGCCTCAGTACCTGTGTGTGTGTGTGTGTGTGTGTGTGCGCACGCTATACTTTTTTTTTTAATCCTATAGACATTATGAGTTATGGAACTGATTCTGCTTTTCTCTTTGAGTTGGCTTCTAGGAAACTCAAATTCATGGCCTGCCTCAGAGAGACACTATACCATACCTTACAAATAGGATCTGAGGTACTCATGTTATCCCAGGAGTCACTTTATTTTTCCTACTTTTATTTGTATTTGCTCAAGTGTCCTCGTTTTATCTTGTGGGCCTCTCAGTATTTTGTAAGCCATCTCAAATCCTTTTTGTAAAGGAAGGGGTGCTCTGTAAGTAGAAATGGAGAATGAAAGAGAGAAATACAGAAACAGGTCATTAAATAATGAAATCAAAAAAAGATGAAAATTGTGAGAAATGTCTTTTTTTTTTTTTTTCTTTTTTCCTTTTTCCAAACAGAAGAGTTTATTATCAAGAAACTTCCTATAACAGAAAACCACCTCAGGGCATAGACTTGCATGATATATGGAGGAGGGGGTGTGTACATTCTGTTTTTTGTCCAGGGTAGAGACCAGAGCCTTTCCCAGAATCCTTTGTGAGAGATAAGAGGGATTTTTTTATTATAAAATATATGAATAAAAGCTGAGAATTCTGTTTCCAAGCCACATAGGTATGTTGTACTGGTTACAGCTATCCGAGATGTGGCAGACCACAGACAGAAACAGAGGAAGTGCCGGACTTGACAGGTGTTTAGTCCTCTTCTGAGAAATGGAATTTAATTATTGAATTATTTCTGTGTTGACCAGTGCAAGAACAGGCAGCTATTTTCTTTTGCTGTCTGCTTGGAAGCACTCAGAAAGGACCATGCTCTCCAGGCCAAGTCAAAGGAGACAAACTCCAGAAATTCCTGGCTAGCATAGTGTTAAGTCTCAGTTTCCTGTTGTCATTGTTGTTAGGTGTCATCAAGTGGATTCTGACTCATAGTGACCTTGTGTGACAGAGTAGAATTGTCCTATAAGGTTTTCTTGGGTGTAACCTTCACCTGAGCCCATCACAAAGTCTTTCTCTCATGGAGTCATTGGGTGGCTTCAAACCACCAACCTTCCAGTAGCAGCTGAGCACTTAACCATTATACCACGATATTTAGTCTTACATGCCTTGTTAGTAGAATTGCACAGTGTTTGGTATTCACCTTGTTATTTAATGTCATTGGTACAAAGTTAAACAAGCTTGATTAACTTAATAAAAAAAACTTTTTTTTTTTTTTTTTTTTTGTTATAGTCTTTGTTGTTTCAGAGCTGGGTTTGGCAAATGTCTTCTGTAAAGCGCCAAGTACTAAATATTTAAACTTTGTAGGCCATGCGGTCTCTGTTGCAACTACTCAGTTCTGCCCTTTACAGCATGACAGCAGCCATAACAATATGTAATAAATGAGCATGGCCATGTTCCAATTAAACTTTATTTACAAAAACAGATGACAGCACAGACTCCACTTGTAGACTGTAGTTTGCCAACCTCTGTTATAGGTCAGTAGTAAGGTCTCTGGAGGAAAGCTCTGGATTCAGGGAGAACTCAGTGCTTTTCTTCTGTGCTTGTCTCTCCCCTCTAGAGCTAGGGTTGATGTGGCAGAGGGTGCCAAGGAGGAGGTGAGTTCCCTGCAGTATCAGGACCAGTGGGAAAAATACTTTCTGACTCAGGATTTCTTCTAGAAGGCTTTTGGCTCAAAATATCAAGGACTTACTATGGTTTCTCAAAGATAAATTATTATTAATATTGCAAATAGTTGGTTTATTTGTAAGTAAGGCTCCTCTTAGAGGTTTTGAGTGGACTTCTGTGAGTGTTAAGAGAATAATTAAAAACTTGTCTTGAGAGTCTGAGTTAACTTAGGAAGATAAACATGAATATTTAAACTAATACACTGCAATCACCTATAATCCTATCTGCAATCCATTAACCTGATCTTCATCTGCAGTGCACTTTTGCTCACCTCAAATTTAGTAACATTTTAGGTAACTTTATATAGGGCAATAATGAAGTTGTCAATTTCATTTTATTTGAACCCACAATTGACGCCCAAGTAATCAGCACTCAAGAAATCAAATGACATATTGCATTTGACAATCTGCTACAAAAGATCGCTTTAAAGTATTTAAAAGCAAAGATATTACTTTGTGGACTAGATGTACCAAGCCATTGTAGTTTCAATTGCGTCACATGCATGCAAAAGCTGGGCAATGATTGAGGAGGACAAAAGAAGAACTGATGTATTTGAATTCTGGGGTTGGCAGAGAATATTGAATATACCATGGACTGCCAGGAGAACAAACAAAACTGTCTTAGAAGAAGTACAGCCGGAATGCTCCTAAGAAGGGAGGGTGGCAAGACTTCGTCTCACACGCTTTGGACATGTTATCGGGGATCGGTCTGTGGAGAAGGACATCATGCTTGGTAAAGTAGAGGATCAGCAAAAAAGAGAGAGATCCTCACCAAGACGGATTGATGTGGTGGCCGCAACAATGAACTCAAACATAGTAACGATTGTGAGGACGGCACAGGACTGGGTAACATTTCCTTCTGTTATACAAAGGGTCCATATGAGTCAAAACTGACTCTTTGGCACTTAACAACAATAGCATGGAGGATAGAAGAACTTGTCAAACCACATCATGGGGATGCTGTCACAAAATCTATAGAAAATTTGTGAGAGAAAAAAAAATCCATGGGAAATTACAAGACAGGTGGCTGTTCCTTCAACAAATGAAGTACAAGAGATGGGGGCAAAGAAGGAGAGGCTATGGCTTTAAAGTTTTAAAAGCCATAAAACCAATTGCAATTGTAATGCACAGACCTTATGTGAATCCTAATTTGGGAAAAAAAAAAACTATTAAAGAAACCTATAATGGTGATAAGGAAGACCAAAGAAGAGTTGATTCTTTTGAAATGTGGTATTAGCAAAGAATACTGAAACTACCATGGACTGCCAGAAGAATGAACAAATCTGTCCCGGAAGAAGTGTAGCTGGAATGCTTCTTGAAAACGAGAATGGCCAGACTTCGTCTCACCTACTTTGGTCATGTTGTCAGAAGGGACCCCTGGAGAAGGATATCATGGTTGGTAAAGTGGACGGTCCTCAAAAAAGGGGAAGGCCCTCAACGAAATGGATTGACACAGTGGCTGCTAAGATGGGCTCAAGTATAGCAAAGATTGTGAGGATGGTGCACAACCAGGCAGTGTTTCATTCTATTGTACATGGGCTCACTATGAGTCAGAGCCAACTCAACAGCACCTAACAACAACAGCATAATGATAATGGCAACACAGCATTTTGGGTGTGATTAATGCTACTGGATTGTACACCTAGAAGGGGTTAAGATGGCATATTTTATGTTGTATGTATTTTACCACAATAACAAATAACCACACAAAAAAAAAAAGGATTCATGAAAAAACTCTCAAAACCATATGGTAGAAAGGGGGACCAGTTTGCTGATCTCATAGAGCATGGTGGAACCAGTGAGACTATGGGCCCTAGCTGCTGGGAATTGAACCACACCTGTGGCTTCCAGCCAAGCAAAAAACAGGCATATGAGTTGAACATGTACCTGAGGTAGAGACACTCCTTGGAGAGAACAATCATGGGAGAAAGAGGGGCTGCTTATGCACAGGGAGACAGCTCAGGGGACGGAGTGCATGGAGGGATGGACACAGGGAAGAGGTAACTATAGGGAGGAAGTGGGAGGGGAGCTGTTGCATTGGGGTAAATTGCAGTCAATGTCATGAGACAAAATGTGTGTGAACTGCTGTATGGAAAGTGAATTTGCTCTGTAAATTTTCACCCAAATCACAATTTAAAAATATATATATGTGTGTTCTGGTTACTTAGTGCCACTCTGACAAGAATATACCACAAATGGGATGGCCTTAACAAACAGGAGTTTATTCTTACAATTTGGAGCCTTTTTAAGTCTGAGTTCAAAGTGCCAGGCTCTAGGGGCTGGGTGAAAGCCCCTCAACTTTGGGGTCCAGCTCTGCCTTCTGCTCCCAGCCCACTGAAGCTAGAGGCGTTTCTTCACTCAGACAGGTGCTGACTGCTGAGGCTGCCAAGCCCAAGTAAAAAGGCACAGTCCCAATGTTACCAAACCACATGGCAGGCCATTAACTTAAGTCCATCCACCAGCCACTCCTCAGAAGGAAGATGGGGCAATCTACTTCCGTAGTGATACCACCTCAGAAACCCAAGGAGGGGTTGCTATGAGTCGGGTTCGACTCAACGACACATAACAACAACAACATGGTAAGTCCCAAGGTTGACAGAGCATAGCAGGCTGCTGAGCAATGACATGGCTACATGCAGGGTCCAAGGGTGCCAAAGGCTAGAGACCATTTCCAAGGCTTCTCCTTATATATAGGAAGCAGACCACATCCCAAAGGCAGCTACTCAGCTGCTTGTGGTAGATCCCACCATGGAGTTCATTGCCAGTCTCATCATGGGGAATAACTACCACCAGCTGCCCAGCCACTCAACCAGGCCCAGTCAAGTTGACACAAAAACATAACACTACAATAAAAAATGGCAGCTCTGGTAGCATAGTGGCTAAGACACTTGCCTGCTAACCAGACGGCTAGCGGTTCAAACCCACCAGCCACTCCTCGGAAGGAAGGTTGGGCAATCCTACTTCCGTACTGATACTGCCTCGGAAACCCAAGGAGGGGTCACTATGAGTCAGGTATGACTCGACGGCACATAACAACAACATAACAACAATAAAAAATAAAATAGATAAAAATTGAATTATTGATAATTTTTAAGGTATAATGGCATTTTGTGTGTGTGCATGTGTGTGTACTTTAAGAGTTTGTCTTTTAGAGATACAAGCTAAAGCAGTATGGAAGAAATAATGTATCTAGATTTGCTTCAAAATAATGCAAGTGGAAGTAGGTAGAGTATGGATGGGGCACAACTGGCCGTGAGTTGATAGTGGTTGAACCTGGGTTATGTGTATGTAAGGGTTCTTTGTGATATTCTGTCTCCTTTTGGAGATGTTTGAAATTCTCTGATGTCTGCCCTCCTATGTGCTGAGCTAATAGGCTTCCAAGAGCCTAACTTTCTCCCTTTATCTCCATGCAGTGCTCCAAGAGCTGCCAGGGCGGCTTCCGGGTCCGAGAAGTGCGGTGTCTGTCAGATGACATGACCCTAAGTAACCTCTGTGATCCTCAGTTGAAGCCAGAAGAGAGAGAATCTTGTAACCCTCAGGACTGTGTCCCTGAAGTGGGTAAGTACAGAATCCTACTTGGAGAAAAGACTTGGCTTCCCTGAGCTCTGTCAAGCTCTCTGGAGTGAAAACACCAAATCCTTCTAGGTTACTCTGTGGCCTTGTCACACAGACATGGAGTTCAGTGGGTCTAAGTCCTTTTGGTGTTAGAAGTTTCATATCCTGAGATGACTGTTCATAACTTGGGTCACCATCCAAGCCACTCACTGAAGACAAACTTAAAAGTGAATTAAAACCACTTGGAAAAGGATCAGTGTAGGAGATCGTGGATAACCAAACAAAAAACCAAACTCTCTGCCGTCGAGTCGGATCCGACTCATAGCAACTCCTCCTTGGAGATCCTGGATAGAGTGAGAGAAAAATGTGGAACAAAACTCAAAATAATAAAAATTACCAGGCTTACTTGTCTGCTAGAGCCTGGTGAGACCCCCAAGACTATGACCCCTTGTCACCCTTTCTCACTGCTGTCGAGTCAATTCTGACTCATAATGACCCCTCCTTGGGTTTCTGAGGCAGTATCTCTACAGAAGTAGATTGCCCAACCTTTCTTCCAAGGAGTAGCTGATGGGTTTGAACCGCCAGCCTTCTAGTTAGCAGTCAAATGCCTCACCCTTAGGGCCTGAAATTGAACTCACTCCCATGGCCTCCAGACAAACAATAGATAGACATATAAGGTGACCATTTACAGCAGGTAGGTACACTCCTTAAAATAATCAATCATGGGAGATCAGAAGGGCATCATTTGCACAGGGATATAGCTCAGAGGACAGGAATACACAGGGAAAGACACAGGGAAAAGGTAACCACAGGGAAGAAGTGGGAAGAAAGCTGTTACATTATGGGGATTATGATCAATGTCATGAAAGAAAATGTGTATGAACTGCTGTATGGAAAATGAATTTACTCTGTAAACTTTTACCCAAATCATAATTTTAAAAAATTTAAAAAGTGAATTAATTTAAATGATCATGCATTTAGAGATTTGGGCCCATCTATCATCCTTAAGATCAAAGTATTGAAATTTCAGCTTTTAACTGTAGCTGCGAGTTGTGTAGGGAGAAGATCCTGGAGTCCCAGCAGTGGGTTAGAGAAAAGAGGGGAAAGGGGAGAAAGCCAAGAACTGGGAGGGACAGTGCTGAGAGTCTAACCAGCTATCTGAGTCCTCTCCAGGGATGGGGAGACAATAGCTAGAGAATCTAGGCCGCACAATGGTTGGAGCCCTGCAAGGAGCAGCAGCATTGCAATTCAAAATACCCCAACCTGCAACCAAGAAATGGAGTCTAGTTCCCTAGAGGAAGGTGTTGGTGAGAGTTAGGGAGATTAGGTTCTCTCCTGGGTTACTATTCATGAGGAAGACCTCAGTCCCAATAAGGGGACTGAAGAATAGCCAGGAGACCAAAGAAGGTGACTTGCACATGAATTGTGACATTTCCGAAGCAGATCACCAGACCTGTCTTCCAAGGTGCCTCCGGTGGGTTCCAACTGCCAACCTTTCAGCTAAAACTTAATTTCAATTTGAATCCCAAATTGTTACTTAAGTTTCTTTTTAATAGATTACATGATGTTACAACATTGAGAAAAGGCTAAGACCTGCCATATGCCATAAACCCATTGTCATTAAAGACTAGAAATTGCCAAATCCTTGGAATTGGTTGTGTAATTTTCAAAGCTAGGAGAGGCTGATGTAACCAGTGTTCTGAAGGGCTGTCACTCAGCTGGCAAACATTGTCAAAGAGTTCTTATTCATATGGTGAGATGTCATTTTTTTTTTTTTTCCTGACCAATCTCTTTTCTCTTTTGGAATGTATGGTGGCTTTTCAAGGTGCAAAAAAAACTACTAACAATTATTTAAAACACAATTGAGGAAAAAAGAGATTCACAAAATAGAAAACTTTGATGTGGTGAAAAACGTGAAATTCTTCACTACAGATTATTAAGTAAGCACAAATAAGCCCATGCTTACCTTGCTTACTGGGTACCCTATCCCTGTCAGGGATTGTAAATGTGAAAAGCGGCTTTGACAAAATAAAGTGTACCAGGTAAAGTGACCTATCTATGGACAGAGCTGAATAACACCAGTCTACCCTCATGGTTTTGTTGGGAGCTCTGGTAGCATAGTGCCTAAGGCACTTGACTGCTCACTAGAAGGCTGGCGGTTCAAACCCACCAGCCACTCCTTGGAAGGAAGGTTGGGCAACCCTACTTCCGTAGTGATACTGCCTCGGAAACCCAAGGAGGGGTCGCTATGAGTCGGGGCCGACTCGACGGCAAACAACAACAACAACCCTCATGGTTTTGTTAAAGGGGCAAACCTTGCTGTTAGCCTCATCTCAATTGTGATGCGAGATGACTCAGCTTCATTGCAGGGTATAGATTTTAGAGATAGAAGAATCCTTTTAACTAAACTAACCTATCACTCAGAACTTTATTTTTAGTAGACTTTCTTTAAATGGGCACCACATCCTTATGTCAAGTACACAGATAATAATTTTATAGCTCAATGAGCATACAGAGTGAGCTTACCTATCTAAGCTATGTAAAAATTCAACAATTCATTCACCTATTGATTCTGCAGTTTAGTGATGCCTGTTCTTTTGTTTCTATGTGTATCTGTACACTCTTCAGTGCTTATCTTTTGTATAAATTCCTAGAACTGGAATCACTGAGTCAAAGATAATGACCACTTTGTAGCTTGAAAGATATTGCCAAAGTTCTCTCCAAAAAGATCACATCATGTTACAAGTAGAACATTCCTCATGTTCCAGTCACTATCTCCTACTCCTTTCTGCTGATTTCTAACAGCATAGATTGGTTTTGCCTATTTAGAAACTTTTATTAAATGGAATTACACCAAAAAAAAAAAAAAAGAAGAAGAAGAAAAGAAAAGAGGCTTTGATTGTGTGGGGAGGTGTTGTGGGGTTAGGCAAGAGACAGATGCCAGCTATACCTCAAAGCAGAATCTTTGATGTGATGAAAATATTGTGAAACTGTTCAGTACGGATTAGTAAGTAAGCACAAGTAAGCCCATGCTTACCTTGCTTATTGGGTAGTCTGGCACTGGTTGTGAGAGAGACAGTGCCTCCTGGATGGGAGCATAAGGTTGCTGCCAAGTACCTGTACCCATCCTGAAGGTCAAGAAGGGGCTCAGGGGCACATTTTGCTTGTGATTCTGAAGAAAAAAGTGGTATGTGAGCTCATGGGTGAATGGATGCTACTGTCAGTTTTTGTTTTACTTTGTTTTTGATTTGTACATAAGTTATCTTTTATTTTATCCCAGAGAGTTATTGCTAAATCAAATTGATTGCATTTTAGAATCAAACAGATGCAATTTAGTAGACAGAGTTAAATCTGTGACATGCACATTGAAGCCAAACCAAACCCATCACCATCAAGTCCATTCTGACGCATGGCAGCCACGTGTGAGGGAGCCGAACTGCTCCATAGGGTTTTCTTGGCTGTAACCTTTGTGGAAGCAGGTCACCAGGTCTTTCTCCTGCGGCAGCACCACTGACACAGTTCCTTCAAATTAATTTTCAAAAGACATACACGATCCAGTTTTGTAAAGAATGAAGGATGTGCACAAACATGACAGAAGAGGCTGAAGACATGTTCGGCCTCACTAGGAATCAGAAATGCATATTTAGAAAATAATCAGATCCATATTTCTCCATGAGATCGACAAACTTTTTAAAAATTGGATAATAGTCTGTGTTGGCAGAGTTGTGAGGAAAAGGTCAATCTCCTGCTTGTAACATGATGTGATCTTACAAAAACGACAAGAAGGCCACATGTTCTGACCTCCTCTAATCCCACAAGAGGAAGACAGGATTACCAGCAGTAACCCAAGGCCTATTACTGCAAGGCCAGACATGCTGCCTCCCTCTAGCCCTTTCACCAACTGTTCCTCCCAAAGCACCCACCACCTCTCTCCTGGGTTCGATAATTCACTGCAGTGGCCACACAGAACTCACAGATTATGGGGTTTATTGGGGAAGCACCAGGCTACAATTCAAGTTCAGGAAAAATGCTCAGTCTCTGTCCCAGCCCACCGTCCCTCAGCCAAGTCTCTCACAGTCTCTCCCGCAGCAGTGCATGTCCCTCGGTGTCTCAGCAATGCGTGTCTCTTACATCTCTTTCCCAGCAACACATGTCTCTTTCAGCAGCATGTCTTTCTCAACCAGCAGTCAGAGAGAGTTCTGCCTCTAGGAGGCCTCCTTTTGAGCCCGGCAGAGTGGCCAAACTAACCAATCATAGCATCAGAACTCTAAGCACGTGAGAAAGAGTGGGAACCTCCCAGAACATTGTATTGTGCCACGCCCAACATAAATAACCCAGGTGGATAACATTTACAATCAGGAGCTCCTCAGTTGCTCATTCCACCACTGAGTTTACAATGACTTATGGGTAGAAAAGCCATACTAAGTGATTTACTACACTGCAGATCTTTTTGGAGAGAACTTTGGCAATATCTTTCAAGCTATAAAGTGGTCATTATCTTTGACTCAGTAATTCCAGTCCTAGGAATTTATACAAAAGGTAAGCACTTAAGAGAGTACAGATACACATAGAAACAAAAGGATAGGCATCAATAAACTGTGTAGAATTAATAGGTGAATGAATTGTTGAATTTTTTAAACTCATAAAACTTGGAAGCAATTACATTTCTATCAATAGAAGGAAATGATTGATTAAATTATGTTTCAGTATGTAGGATACCCTTAAAAAGAATGTTGTAGACCTGTATGTTAGAATGCATTAGTTAATACATCTAAGTATATCTGGAATATAAAAGAGCAAGAAGCTGAGTAGTAAACTCTTTCCCAAATTAATCTATAAATTCAAGCAGTGTTAATCAAAATCTGCACAGAATTTTCCATAGAAAACCTGAAAAAATTATGTCTAAAGCTTATATATGAAAAACAACAGCGTAGAACCAAGAATGGCCAAGTCAATTTTGCTGACGAAAAATGTTAGGGGATTTTTCTTACCACATATCAAGGCTTCTTTGCACAAGGATAGAAAAATAAACCAATAGACTAGACTAGAGAGCCCAGAAATAAACCCATAAGATAGGGATGGTTCATTGTCACTGAATCCGTAAGCATGCAAAATGTTGAATTGGCAAATGTTGTGCTGTCTGCAGGAGCTCTAGTGGCACAGTGGTTAAAGCATTTGGCTGCTAACAAAAAAGATGGTAGATTGAACCTACCAGCCGCTCTAGGAGAGAAAGATGAGACAGTCTGCTTCTGTAAAGATTTATACCTTTGGAAACCCTGCAGGGCAGTTCTACTCTGTCCTATAGGTTTGTGGTGAGTCAGAATCAACTCGATGGCAGTGGATTTGGTTTTTTGGAGTTTGATATATGACAGAGGTAGCAGTATGAATCACTGGTAAAAAGGTGAACAATTTGATAAATGGCGATGAGACAATTGTTTACCAATATAGGAAAACAAAAAACAAACAATAAAATTGAATTCCTACATTTTACTACAATATACTCATTAATTCCAGGTGGATTAGGAACATAAATGGTAAAGAGCAAATTTTAAACTTTTGCAAGAGCATATGGTGAAATACAGGACCTCTGGTGGCATAATGCCTAAGGCATTTGACTGCTAACCAGAAGTCTGGTGGTTCAAACCCACCAGTCACTCCTCAGAAGGAAGACTGGGCAATCCACTTCCATAGAAATATTGCCTCAGAAACCCAGGAAGGGGTTGCTATGAGTTGAATCGACTCAACAGCAGTGAGGTTTTTTTGTTGTTGTTGTTTCTGGTTTTTTGTTTGTTTGTTTGTTTTTAATGTTAGAGTAAGTATAGATTTCTTCAATGAGAACCAAAATGTCCAAACCACAAAGGAAAAGTTATAGCGCATTTCACTAAAATTAAAAATCTGTGTTCATGAACTCACTCCTGTGGCTTCTAGCCAAACAATAGACAGGTATATGGGGTGAACATTTACATCAGGTAGATACACTCCTTGGAGTGATCAATCATGGGAGAACAAAAGGACAGTGTTTGCAGAGGGAAACAGCTACAGGGGGTGGTGGGAGTGAATGGGAGGGAAGGACACAGGGAAGAGGTAACTATGGGGTGGAAGTGGGAAGAGAGCTGTTACATTGTGGAAAATTGCAGTCAATGTCATAAAACAAAATGTGTATGAATTACTGTATGGAAAATGAATTTGCTCTGCAAACTTTCACCCAAGTCACAATAAAAATTTGCAAAAAACTATATATACACACACGCATAGATGAAAAAAAATATGTGTTCATCAAATGGTATCATCAAGTACTAAAAAAAACTACAAACTGGGAGAAGATATTTACAAGAGCTCCCAGCAAAAGCTCAGGATCCATTATATGTAAAAAATTTCCAACAATCATCTAAAAAAAGTAAGCAAGGTTAGATAATGGGCCAAAGATAGGAAAAGCAATTTACAGAAAAGGAAACTTGAATAGCAGATAAGCATGTAATACCACACTCAACCTCATTCAGGAATAATTTCACATCCAATAGATTAACAAAAGTAAAACATGTGGTGCTAAGGGAGTTCCTTAAGACTGACAAAAAGGTAAATGTTACATCTACTTTAGCGGGCAATCTGATCATGTCTAATAAATGTGTACTTTATGACCCAGTGAGACCAGAAAGGAGAACATGAACCAAACTGTTTAAAAGAGCACTGTTTACCTAGAAGAGGTGAATGAATAGAGATCAGGGTTAATAGTGATTGCCAGGTGGGAGGGAAGGGGAAGGGGAAGTCTTTGTTCAAGAAGCAGAGTTTCTGTTTACAGGGATGGAAATTCTGGCAACGGATATTGGTGATAGTTACACAACATGATTGATGTAATTGGTGTCACTGAATCTGTACACATGCAAAATGTTGAATCAGCAAATGTCATGCTGTCCACATGTATTTTCACAACAATGAAATGGAGCATTGTCTGTAATAGCAAAAAAAAAAAAAAAAAAA